TATAGTAGTTAATTTTATTTCATAATCAATGGGCGCCCGTTATAAAGCTTGCTTGTTGTGGCGACCCTTTTTCCACTTTATTCAAATGTTCTGTCTATGTATTTTGTATTGATATTGATGATGTGATGTGGAAATAAACTTTATATTGAATTGAAAGAAGATTAATCCATGTTATTAATTTATTCCAAGTTACTGTATTACATCTAGCTAACCTTATCCTATAGTTTTACACTACTTTATTCCTGCTAAAAGATCATAATTAATATTATTTATATTGATGTATATTGTACAGAGCGTAGAGTTCAGTTTTTGAATATGCGACTTCTCACTATTTAGAAACAGCTAGGTCACACCACTAGATCATAGATACGGTACCTGTTGGTGTATTCAATATTGAACCATTTAAGCACAATGGGTGTAATAAACTTTCAATATTCCACTATTGTAAATTTAATCCCCAAAAAGCATACTTATAAGTAATTTCTATTTAAATACCATTGATGTAGACCACAGAGAGCGCATACATTTCAGTCTAAAATGCGCTGTTTAAAGCTGACATAAATATGTAGGCCTACACTTGAACAAGTCTGACAAAAATATTTAAATTTTAACAGACCGAACTTATTAAAATTGAATTATTACTTTCTTTAAATATGAAAACTATTTTTGTTTCATAATTATATCCTGTTGTATCTTTTTAAAGATTGGTTTAGCTGTCGGTGATATTGCAGGGGTACAGCGTAACGCTCAACTTAAACGGCTTGCAATGCAGGTTGATCTACACACAGACCTTGAACAGAAGTTGCCTTCAAAAATTATTCAATACAGAAATGCGACTGAGTACACAGTTTATCCTAATTGTTCACGATTTTTTATGTTGAAGGTTAGGTTAATGTTATATAATTATAATCATTATAGTGATAAAAGTGATAATGATGCTGATGACGATGATAACGCTCATATTAATGTTGATAATGCTGGTGTCAACGTTAATTGTAAAGTTAATGTTAATAATATTGATAACCATTAATGACAATAATTATAATAAATAGGAATAATAATTATGTTAGTAATGAAATTTTTTTTTTATAGTGGTGGTGATTATGATGATGATGACGATGATCATTTTTATGATGGTTTTTTTTAGTGTTTTTTTATAATGTATTTGCAATTTTTTATGTTTTTATATTAACCTGTTTTTCATGTATTTATGGTGTTTTTAATCACGATCTTAAGGTAGAACAATATATTAATATTGAATAAGTTTTCGTGAATAAATAAAGTGACTGTACTATACTATACTATGATGATGATGATGATGATGAAGGATAGCATTGATGATAATAATGATGAAGAGAAAGAAGAGTATAATGCTGTTAACAGTTATAATGATATTAATAATAATAATAGTGATAATAAATTAAGATATATATATTTGTTGTGTATAATGATGTTGATATCGAATAATAATAATAATTATAATAAATAGTAATAATAATAATAATAATGTTAGTAATGAAAATACTTTATAGTGGTTGTGATGATGATGATGACGATGATGATGATGATGATAATAATGATGATGAGAAAGAGGAGGATAATATTGTTGTCAGTTATAATAATATTAATAATATTAGTGAAAATAAATTAAGATGTATATATATATATATATATTTATATGTATTTTATTAAATAATCAGCTTTGGAAGAAAATCCGTGAAACGGCAGGAATGGATGAAGATACAACACAAATGGAACGAATAACAGAAGCTACAACGGATCCAGCTTTTGACTTGGTACACAAAGAGCAGCTTAAACAGAAAAGGAGGTACGTACCCAGATCAACGGTAAACGCGATCTTTCCAAAAAGCTAATGGAAGTCACACCGGGCAGCGACTAGGTAACAACCAAGCTGCGACCGACGTGTAACAACCAAGCTGCGACTGAAAATTAATTTTAGGGACAAATCGTACTGAGATAGAAAGAATAGGGCGCGAATGATGGTGGGAAATTATTAGAGCAAAATCATTCACAGCAAGATCGACACTTATATTCAAAACATCTGACCTATTATTCAATTTATGTGAAGTCATAAGCAGTTCTTACATGGCTGTACTACCAGTCTTCGACGGTGGGTAAATCTTGGATGATGGTTATGTAACTTGTTATGTCACCACACGATAGGGAGTGCGACCAGTCTTGGCATGCTCCACACGAGTTTACGTCTAGTGGCTTCATCCTGTCTTTAGGTCCTTTCAGTATATTTGAAGCTACTTTCAGGGTTGAGTCATTATCTACTGCAACGTTAAAAAAAAGCATTATTGTTATGGTTGGTGTACCATTGCCAACATTAGAACCCATATTATATTTGGCCCGGCTGTAGTGTGTTTCAGTACTATGTGCGTCCCTGAATTGGAAGGTGTGCAATTACTGGAATCTGCTACGGCAATTAGAGAGGGGAGTCACAGGGCGGAGGACTGACTGCGACTAGCTATTATTGGATGTGATCGATCATTAATCGTACAATCGGTCAGTGTTTGTCACCACAATCGCACTTGATCTTTTCAAAACGTTGGTGAACACACAACCACGACTACCTACTAATCATACATGACCAACCGCAAGGCGTACTACCAGTACGGCCGTGGTAGGATTTTGAGAGTGTGAGAGCTGCTATGTGAACAATGTCGTTGATAATTTTTAACATTCTGGGAATTTTAATCTGTTTGATATGGGTCGCCAGTCGTTCTCACATGTGTCATAGTCATCTTCATATAATTATACATACCTGTTTCCAAAATACACTGAGTAGTAATTCCGGGCACTCCCGGTTGTGTCTTCCTCTTCCCTATTATTGGTCCCATCCGTCACAATATTAAACTATTTCTTAACATAGTCCCCAGAAAATAATATTCAAACCCCTGTCTTGGCTAGCTACTTCACCCATAAAGGTATCTGATTGTTCAGAACATTTTTGTTTTTGGAAGAAGTTAAGATCTTGTCTAACAGTTTCGTGGATTATGTAGACGAAACTGCATGCGACATCGTCTCTTGTTTAGTAAGATCAGGGTACTGTTAAATTACAAAACCAATTTAACTGTTCCCTGGTAAATAAGATAGCCATCGGTACAACTCCGCATCCTTATCTGCCTCCTCCTGCGTCTCATGAACATCAACCTCATCCACCTAAATCTAAAGTTAAATCTAATGTGGTTATTAAGAATTTTTAACAATAAATAACTCTAGGTGTTTTCATGGATATAAATGAAACAAGGTCAATTTTGGAGGGCGGTCTTTCTGCAACTCTAAATCGCAGAGGTAGTCACGATAGTGTTAGATGGGCTTTAAAAGAGCAATCGCAATAATACACAATTTTATCGGATTTCTTTTGAAACGGCGCCGCCAACGTCTCGCAACTCACTGGGGAACTTCCAGAGGCCTAGTTAAACAGCTGCCCTTTTACACATGAAGCACCGCACGGCTGATAGCGCCGCTAGTCCTTTGCTATTGCAGCAGTAGACAACAGATACGATCTTGCTTTATTTACTGTAATTACTGTATATGTAAACATTAAAACAGCTTTTTAAGACTTGGACTTGCTTTTAATATAAACATTTCGTGTTTTTTTTTCCCGTTTTAATATATTGTGCTCGTTAGTAATTTAGTTTTATCGTTGATTTAATGCATGACGGTAACTACGTAGAGCAAAATGGTGGGCCTCTGAAAGTCCCCAGTGGTAGTTACCAGGTTATCAGAAATTTTTATTAAAAATTTCGCGAAAATGGTCTATAAAACCCCTGCAGATCGTAGAAAATTTAGTCAATATATTGTCCCGTGGCCAAGACGACACAAATCACAGGATCTAGGAATATAGGCCCTATCTTAAGAAGTGAATGAGGCTTAACAGGTTGGCACGTCTACGTTCAGGATGATCACATTTTTAACCACTATACAAAAACATATATATATGTTTGACATTTAGTTTTAGTTTGTCAGTGGTCTATTTCAAAGGTTAGAGCTGGTCACGTACTGATACTGTTAAGTTTTAAACTTATTTATCTTTATTGAAGGTTTAAAGAAATGCAACAGCAGATTAGCAAACAATTAGACCTCCTCAAACTGATAGTTCAGAAAATGGAGATCAAGTCCGAAGCCGATGATGAAGATGAAGGAGACAATATACGTGACAAAAATAAGTAAGTAAACTTTACAACACTAACAAAGATGATCCGGATTTTTAAAAAAATTAAAATTACTCTGACGTAGGCTTACGCGTTTCTAAAATGTTGATTAGGAAATCTTTAGACAATGAAAAATTGAGACATTAATGCTTCTCTTATTTTTATTTTATGAAACCTGATTAAGAAATTTAAATTGTATGTTCAAGCTTTTTAGGTCAACATTTTTAAGTCCACATTAAATAACATGTCTCTATTTCATGTATTCATGTAAGTTAATTAACAAAATAGTTGATAAATTCTTCTATAAAGTGATACCCATGGAACAACCGATTAGTTGGTCAACTCTAATTGGGCGATGTGCCTACACTTAACTCGGCCAAGAATAAAATCTGCCAGGTGCTCATCAGTATTTCCATCATCCTAAACTCTGATCATCAGATCCAAGATGCCCACAAAATAACTTGCATATGATTTTATACTGCTTCTTCAAGGAGGTCAAGGAGTTTTTAAGTGGATCCGTTACTTCTTTCAATTTTTGTTTTAATTTGGCCATAAATAAGATGGCCGCCAAGTCAACTAAATTGTATTAACAGTTTTCTTTGTTATTACATTCTTCCAAACCTAAGCTTAAATAATAGACTAAAATAATTTGGCCCTTTATTCAGGATGGCTGTTAAAATCTTCTGAATTATATTCAGACTACCTTTAGTGTTATTTTTTTGTCATTTTGACCAGAAAGTTAATATACCAAATATAAATAGAGTTAATGTAATTCTGGGGTCTCTCCTGGAGGTTACCACATTCTATGTTACCTCCGAGTTAAAAGAAAAAAAAAACTAAATAAAAAAAATAAGCAAATAGGCATATAATTTATGTTTTATATGTTTAATAAACAAGCCTCTAACCGTTAACATTTCCATTACCGATTTAGATTTTGGTTTCTTGTGCTGCCGTTTTTAATTTTCAATAATAAAATTTACAAAAAAAATATGTTTACACTTTGTTGTTTGTGATTCCTGTTTGTTCCCTACCTGTTGTTTGATTTTTGGTGGTGATGTTTGCGCTTTAAAAATCGTTATTATTATTATCATTATTATTATATTATTGGTGCAAATTTCTGTCAGACTAATTTGGGATGGTATCATTTTCAGTATGATGTAACCACAATGAAGGTTCATTTACTTTTTATGATCGAGCCATGTCTAAACCAATCGGCCAGTATTTATAGGCCTACCATCTTAGGTTCCAATTGTAGATCCACGTTTAAAAAAAAATCATTTTATTATTTCAGATTTTATTTAACATGTGTCTGAATTTAATTTTCCAAGGGTTCATCTGAGCCAAGTTGTTCGCCAAACAATGGTACTGAAAGCCTTCCATACTCAGCTATCCCAAGCGTCGAGCCTTGGTGTGCGGCGATGTAGTTCCACAACGGAGCCTATGGTGGCGCCACCCTCTGTTGCCACTGTGGACGAGGTAAATGAGAATGAGCTAGAAAAAGGCAATGACAACGAAACCTCCTCTTCCGAAGATGGTGAGGAGGTGGGAGATGAAGAGAATAAACAGCGTGAAAGTGATGCCACAGTCAGTATTACAGATGATTCTGACGGAGCTCAGTCATATAAATGTTAATAATCAGGTCAAAGCTTAAAGTCTATAAGCAGAATTTATAACATTCTACTTCATATTTGTTTCAAAGACGGCAAGTAAGCATTAATTCACATTGAATTAGTTTTTAAAAATTAAAAAAATGTGTGTAACCGAAATTTGCTGGCCTAAGTTAACTTCATTTGGGAGCTCTATAGAAAAGAACGTTGAAAATAACATGTAATTGTGTTTATAAAAGGAAAAAATGTACCGTATTTCTATTCAGGAAAGTGTTTATTGGCAGATCATGGATTGGTTAAATCATGAAATAATTACCATATTTATTCGAATATACGCCTTGAGAAGGGTCTATGGAAGGGGGGGGGGTGATGGTTATTTGAGAGACGCTTTTATTTTAGGAAGGAATTTATTTTTAGTTTTTGGTGTAAAATGGATAGTGGAAGTGGAACTTCAAGACGACAAAATGTGTTATTGGCTGCCAACCTGGTTAAATGATGTAATTCTACTTGATTAGAAAATTAATATAGTATGTTGAGAAATATGTGGGTTACATGAGTTCAGTTATTTAGGGGGGGGGGTCGTTTCTTCGAGGGAGGCATTATTAAAACGTCCCTATCCCGACGAATTATTATTTGATCAAACCAACCAATCAACTAGACAAGATAACTACCATGAGTAAATAGACGCATTGGAACTCGAAGAGAAACCTAGGAATATAAACATTAGTGTTACGGAGCGTTGAAAATGTTAAAGTGTCACTATTAAAAAGCAAAACCTATATTCTTTTGAAATCCCATCAAAATTATTTGTAATTAAGTGATGCCTCATGACACGAGTAAAGTAATGTTAATGGCTAACACTAACACGCTTCCAAACATACGCAAGAAACTGTTGTTGTTTAAATATGTTCTTGTGTTTTATCAATGAATGAAATGTAATATTACAATGTATGTACCTTGATATCTCATGATTTTATTAACCTGTCCATGATATTATTTGTTCTAAACTTTACAGTCTCTTATTAGTTTCGTGATGAATGTACGTGTTTCAGCAAGAAAGTAACATTTTAATACGGTAATTGGTATTTATTCTAAATGTGTAGTTACTTACAAAATAGATTGGTTGAGCTGAAAATCATCCTTCAAGAACATAATAATTAGGTAATCACATCTTTTATGATAGTTTTTAACTTTTGTTTATTATCGGCAGCACCCTGTTGAACTTTTGTGTGTTAATTTCTCTAGATTAAAGATATATATTTTAATAACTTTTAATTAACATTATTAAAATATATTTAAAAATAAAATAACATTCCAAGTTGTCAAAAATGGATTGCACTGTCACACTACCTAGTTTTACACAGGAGGTAATACATGGTGGTACATAGTGCGTTGTGATTGTATGATTATATTTAGTAAATAATATTGTGTTAATGATATTGAAAGAATTTCTTTTGTCTTTATTTTGTAATTAATTTTTTAATGTTATTATCAAATAACATTTTTTAATGTTATTTGCTATTATTTACCGAATAACACATACCAATCAATAGAGTCAAGGCATGCCCTTTCAGGTTCAGGATAAGAAGGCTTCGGGCTTTGACCGTCAATGTCAATCTGCTTCTCTTTACCCTTTCTATCATAACTGGTATTTTTATTAATAAGTTGGTTATTTTTTGTGGGGGGGGGGGGGGGTGTCTTGACCCAATATTCCATGAACGCCCTCTGGCGAGAATGTGCGGATCAATCAAAGATCTTATAACAATATAGCGTTCTCCGCGGTTTTACCTGTAACAATAGAAGCGTTTATTCACATCCCCAGAAAGCGACAGAAAGTAATTGTAACTGAAGGCGTCCTTGTTGTTTCCATGTTGTTTGGAATTAAAGACTAAATCACCAGCATTCTAAATATTCATGAGATTAATTATTTCGTCACCAGCAAACTTGTAAACTTGACTCATTAGTGATGCGACACAACACAGGTTCTGCGGTCGGCCTTACAGCTAGCCAACCAGTGAGTATCGTAGGAATTTGGATTTTTAGGTTTAGCGCTTCCTAGATAAATACTGCAACAATAACATATTTTTCAATCTTGGTTTAATTTAAAGTCGGAGATATGTCCTGTCTCGACCACTCTAGAGTAACTCTCAGATAGCCATCGTTATACTTCTACGAATGGATACCTTCTTCGAAGCAAGAAATCAAGTAGTCTTTACCCAGTACCCTCGTTTATATTATTTGGTGGGAATTTTTTCTTACAGTAGTACCAGATTGGCTAATGAATATATTCTGAAATATGAGGAGTCAACAACCATATTTAGCAGCAAGCGGTCTGTAAATCATCGATTATTAGCATAGGTATCATGAATGTGATGGTAAGACAATGACGATGACGATGATGGTGATGATAATAATGAAAATTAGTGATAATGATAATAATGATAAGTAAGGATGATGATGGCGATAGACCTATTATAGTATGGGCATCATTATTATCATTATAATTATTATTATACGTCAATTGTGAAGTCATCACTGCAACTCCTAATGTTATTTGCCTATTCCCCACCGTCCACTATTTTTTAATTACCGTATTCTCGCGCAAATAATTTGAATAAACGCCCCCTCAATAATTCAATCAATTCTGGACTGTGGATGTTGGCATGATTTGAGGTGTGGAGTGGAATCACATTCTCCTTTAAGTCAATATCAAAATGAGGATATTTTTCTTGGACAGATGAGAGCTCTCTGGACAGACAGATATATTTCCAACTTTCATCTTCTTACTTTTTTCTATAGCCCAGTCCTACTGCTTTTCCGACAATTTGCACCTAACAACACATTCCCATCTGAGTTTTCAAGAAAACCTGCAATGATCATGTAATCCTGCTAATCTCAATCGGCATGGCCAACAAGTAACCACCACCACTAATTTCACCTGCTATTCTGCTGTTATGAAATAATGTACTCACAAAATTCTTTTCATGACAAGCCATGCTCTCTGGACGATTGTCTTTTCCGCCGCACCACCATTTGTAATTTGCGGTTTCCTGATGTCCTTATTTATTCAAAATGTGCCTCATGAATTTAATAAGTTGTCATAATAACCCCTCGATTTTCATCTATTAATTCCATAAGCGCCCCCGCAATTTCCACTTTGTTTTGATAAGCGCCCCGTTCGAATAGGCGCCCCGTTTGAATAAGCGCCCCTCAAAAAGTGCTAAAATATTTTAAGCGCCCGGGCGCTTATTCGCGCGAGTACGGTAGTGGACGCTTGGCTTGATTTTATTTAGGTTCATGTGCAAAAAAAATTCCTAATTTTTTCGTCAACGCGAAGACATCGTGCACCGCGATGTAAATTGTAAATTGTAATTGAAAATTACTTTCGTAAAACAAGCTTAATGAGGACCCGAAGAAATTTACTCCAAATTCAATATTAAGTATGAACAAAATAAAGAATTCATTGAATCAATAGACCCCCATAAACAAAACAAACTGAACGTTTATTAATATTCTAGACCTATTTTAAAGGCTCCAGGAACAGATTTGGATGTACGCACACAGTATACTGATCATATCACTATAGCAACCGATGACTGCTCACTAGTTCGTTATCAAAAACTAAAATTAAAATATTTTCAAGCATTAAATCTAACCTTCGTATGATAATTTTCCAATAGTGTACTATGCGGAGCGAGCTCTACTAATTGCTTTTTTATGGCAGATTGTAATTTATAGGTAATGACAGTTTTTGGCAAAAATTAATACAGTATTAAGGGGACCCCCTCGGGACCAAAAAAAGTGACCCCTTAATAGGGGTACCCCTATTTGGGGACACTAATTAAAAACGTGAAATTGTCCCCTTAATATGGGTTTTTGACATGTTTTCATATAACGATGACATACAATTCTTTATAATTTTATTTCTATTGATACAATTATTTACAGTAGAATTGATAATATGAAATCAGCAGAAATGTAATTAAAACCGTAAATTTGTATGTTCCCAATATTGTTTCATGATGCAATGTTAATGAATGAATTAGAATCTTATGAAAGTAGACAAAAACGAAGAAAAAGAAATCCCCATGGTTAAAGGTAAAAATTGACAAGATATACGAAGTAACACATGCAGTAGGTCTAACTGATATTCACTCCAAGTATTTGGTGATTATTATTATTATTATCATTATTATAACAAAAGCTTGCCCTTGACAAACAGCTGTAGAAATGATAATAATTAGAAAGGTGATAAAAGTTCCTTAATAATTTGCTCAAATTTTGTCAATATATACAATTTTTCTTATTTTGAGACTGTTGTATTTGTTGAGATACCGGTACAACAGAAAAAAATAAGTGTCCCCTTAATAGGGGTTATTTGACCATTTAGAACACTCAGAAAGTGTCCCGTCCCTTTAACAGGGGTGTCCCCTTAATAGGGGTTGACCGCAGTGTTAAAAGATGTATCGCCCCTTGTTTCACGGAAAAGTGTCCCCCTTAATAGGTGTGTCCCCTGAATAGGAGTGTCCAAGGGAGGGGTTCTACTGTAATATGATATCGGTGTATCTGCTGTCAGGCATGTTTAGATTGATTGCACAGCTTATTACTTGTTACAGAATTTACACGAAGATCATAGATGTCAAAGTTTAAAAGTAATGTAATTACGAGAGGGCGCACTACGTAGCGTTGTTACTGCAGGATTTGCGTGCAGAAATCGCTGTCTTGTAATTATAAGATTAAAAGCAATAGAAAAGCAGTCTTGGAACGCTGCGGTTATTTAGTTCCCTGCAAAAACCCACCAAACACCAAAACCAGTGTTACATATGCAACACTTGTAGGTGTTAAATCAACACCAATTCTTGGATTTAACTTTTACACCAAAGCCGGTATTATGTTGAATTTTAACACCTTCTTGGGTATCTATATCCTGCAACACCAAATGGTGTTAAAATTATTTTAACACCATAATCGGTGTTACTTATGCAATACCTGAAGGTGTGAAATCAACACCAATTTTTGGATTTAACACCAAAGCCAGTGTTATACGTTGATTTTTTTTTAACTGTTGTTAAATAAACTTTAAACAATTTTTAAAAAGTGGTATTGTTAACTCCAGCCAGAGTCATTTTACACAAAATAAAATGCCGACTCAAAACAAGAAACAATGTAATGAATATTTCAGAACATATTTAAAAAGGTGTGAAGGGAGAGTTATTTGAATACTTAAAATAACATTTCTATAATATGAATCACAAACACAAATTTATTCGGAAATGAATAAACTTTAATAACAATAAATTTTAAAATGAACATACTTAACATTTTTTTTTTGCAACAATGATCTATTGAAAATTACAGCATTCAATTTGCTTACATATTCTCAGAACAATTTTTTTATCTCATACTGAACAACTAAACATTTTTAAAAGTACATTAGTACTCATTGATCAATTATCAAAAATTACAACAATCTAGGTTTTTTTAAACAATCATCAAATAATTGTAATAAATATTATTATATTTCAGTTTTGATCAAAGTTTTTAAAAACAGTCATAACAAATGACCATATCGTTAAAATGTATCGTTAAATCAAAATATTCTTGCATTGCTAATAATGCCTTAATCTCCTTTTGAAAATTAAAACTTTCAACAAGTTTTCATCAATTCAACTACATTAAAACAGTCATATTAAGACAATCAGTTTTTTTGCAACAATGACCTAATGTATACGAACAATACAGTGAATTTTTAAGGTGGACTGTTCTAGTTAACTCAATAATTATAATACTTAACTTTAAAAAATGAATCAATTGTATGCATGGACTGTATATGTTTTAGCTACCTCCTTCAACAATAGTACTTCTACTTGAGTTAAGCAAAAACAAGTTATAATAGTTTGAAATCATTTGTCAGTTATTTTGTGTCCACAAAATAAGTCTATTTAAACAACACATGTCTTGGAGCTACATACTGCAAATGTGCACTCTTTGATAAATTTGATAAAACATATAATGGTAAATGGTCCACCAGTTCACATTGAGTTTTAACAACTAAACACACTGGATATTTCAATTTGATAGAAAAAGCATGGTAATTGTGCAGCTGTAGAATAATGCTTCCCAAACCTTTAATAAAAAATAGACCTTGTCTTCATATATTTGAATATGTCGAATCTTACCAAATATTGGCAACTACATTAGTAGGCCTACTCATTGATCTATTATCAAAAATTACTACAATCTGGGTTTTTTTTAAACAATCATCAAATAATTATAATGATCAGTTTTGATCAAAGTTTTTAAACACATAGTCGTAACAAACAAATGACTATATTGTTAAATTAAACAAAAATTAAATTACCCTTGCAATGCTGAGATAACTAATATTGCTTTAATTTTAAACAATTTAGGACCTTTCAACAAGTTCTCATCAATTCAACTACAATAAAATAGTTATATTAAGACAATCAGTTGTATATTGAATATTACTGTGAGTTTTTAAAATGGACTGTTTTATTTAACTCAGCAATGATATAATACTTTCTTTAAAAATGAATAAGTTGTATGCATATGGACTGCATAATAATATTTAATTACTATCGCATTACTTACTCCAGCTGTGTGGGGATCTTTTAGTGATGTGAAGAGGTTTACTATGCCTGCTGCATATTTACTTTTAATCGATGATTTTGGTGTCCGTCTATAAAACAAAATTGCAAATTTATGATTACATTATTATATTTTAAACGAAATTTTTCCCAAAAATAAAGTCTCTATAGATGGATGTAATGTCTTTAATAAGATTTATGTGAGCTGAATGGCTTTAGCAGTTCAGTAGTTACAATCATAACACAATATCAATATGCTATAACAGAGTCGCTTGTTTGTTCTGGTAGTGAGAATGAAAAACCAGTGGGCCCACTGTGAATAGTCACAATCATGCAGTAATATTGGGGGAAAAAATTAATTGGTAGGTGAAAAATTTTAACATTATGGGCAACTATTATTAAAAAATTATTAGTAATATAATTAGAAATCCTAAACGCAAATTAAAAAGCATGTTAGAAGATTCAACTTCATATTAAACCTTAATGACATGCCTCATTTGCTTGGTGCTCTTCTGTTTTTTTATTCTTTTATTAGATTTTTATTTTTTTATTATTATTTTTAAAGATACTTACTTTTGGATTCTATTTTGATAACATTTAGGTTCATACATTAATTATTTACGGTAGAATGTACATTTTATTACATTTTGGATTATCTTCTTTCTGTAACAAATTTATTTTAATCACATTTTGCTTTTATTGCTATTATATATTTTCTAAATATGCCTTTTATAATTTTTACTGTTTTTAAAAAATTCTTTTAGTTATGTGTATTCATTTATAATTATTGGAATGTACATTATATTAAATCTTCAATTATCTTGTTTCTTTAATTTAATACATATATATTTAATATATATTTAACTTTAATATTTATTGTATTTTTTAATTACGTTTTAAATTTTTTTATGTTTATTAGGTTTATTTTAATTCTATTTAACGTCTTTTAATTAATTTACTTACTTTGTTTTTGTAATTGTACTCTATTGTTTTTGCTTTGTATGTATTTGAGGGTCCCAAATCATCAGCCCCGGCTGGATGGACCACCCTCACAAAATATTGTTGAAATAAAATAAATAAATAAATAAATAAAGATAGTAGGTTCTGATGTCTGACAAAAAAAACAAAAAAAACACTACAACATCAAAAATGAAATAATATACAAAACATATTAAAGGTGACTAATAAAGTACAAAGTGGAAGCCTACTTACCCATGTTTATCCATCATGTGAGCAACCAGCATATTAACTAAAACCCTCCTTGATTTTTCAGATAAATGTTTTTATCATGCTCAATAAGGATAGCTTCACCATCTTTCCTTGTTATTAGGATGTTTATGAACTAAAAATTAAAAATTTTAAACTATTATGTAATAATGTATGAAACTTGCATCTGCAATACTGACTGAAATAAGTGAGGATTCTACATCTTAACATACAATAAGATTATGTTAAATAATAACAAAAATATAAAAAAAATTGAAATATTTATTTTTTTCTCAACAAAAAAATAGTCATGCATGATGTTGATTTTAAATATTATATAAATATCCAAGAAATGAAATAGTTCTTTATTTACGACAAAGGTTAATAACTGTTAGTATAATCTAACAGTACATAATTAATGTAGGCATAGTAATATGAACACTACTAACCTCTGCCAAATCCAAACTTTCACTGTTTTTTTTAAAATTTCACTGGAGGTGAACCAAGCTCATCTTCACTTGATTGGATTATTACGGAGTCAGATAATGCACTGCTCTTACACTCACGATCTTCTAAAAATAGGTTTGAGAATAAGTAATACAAAAATACTGAAACTCTATTCTTAAACATAATAATAAACAAAATTCATCTAAAGTAGAACAAGGTATCATTGATTTGTTACAGAGTGTTTTTTTTTTTTTTTGCTTTTGTTTGTTTGTTTGTTGACATTTTCAAAATCGAGGCAAACTTCCATATTTGCATTCCAGCCTACAAAGATATCCTATCCTAGGGCTAGGCCTAGAGAGCAAGGAAGAAGTCAAATGTATTGTAGCCTACTATCCATCCTTCTCCTTAAATTTGCAAACCTCTTGAAAGCAGCTAGGCCTAGACGTGACCTACATAGGTGTGAGAAAGAGCACGCACTTCATCGTGACATGCCATATGGAGATCCTACGACGAAAGCCTGCCTAGCCCTAGGACCTAGAGTAGAATCTAAAAAAAAAAAAAAACAACTGCAAAGATTTTAAATGTTTAGAATGTAGCCAAGGCCTATATCTACTCACCAGTTTTCAAGAAGTTTGTTTTTTTATGCTCCGACAGCATTTTACTGTAATTACCACAGGCATCGTTCTAAAATGGCGAGCCGGTAAGTTTTCTAGCGGGCATTCGAAGCTCGTGATAACATTCATCCAATAGGAGTGCTGCATTTGAATGTCGTTTTCCGAACACCGGAATTTGGAATCAAGTAAAAGCTTCTGGAAGTTTCCGTTCATAATTGTATTCTTTTTGGTGTTGTTTCTTGGCGAGTGGTGTTAATCGTAACACCAGTGGAATCAATTATTTTCAACACCAGTAAAGTGTTATAAATTTAACACCCTAGTTTTTGAAGGGTATGCGCTTTATTTTATTACCCCCGGTCACTGGATCAAGCACATGGAACAACACCCATGCCCCATAATGTTGCAGCTGTAATCAGCGCATGGTTGTGTTTGAACCCATCAGGTACCCACTTGTACTCCTGGGTGGAGAGAGACAAACGTAAATAAAGTGCCTTGCCCATGGAACACAATCGACTTGAACAGCGAGAGCTTCGAACCCCCGACCTCAAAGGTTGGGAGTCCAAGCCACAACCAATGCGCCAACCACTTTCTCTATAATATTTGTTATTCCTATTTATTTTATTTTTTAAACAATTTCGGGTTACAAATAAAGTACGGTAACTAACTTTGAAATATTAAAACAGCATTTTGAACGAATTTAGGGATATTTTCTACAATAAATTAAACCACCATAACTTTTGACTCAATATTAGGAATGTTCTCGCAGTACATTAAATTAATCCATTGTCATTCAAAGTTTCATTAAAAATAGTTTTGCTTATTTATAAAGGCGTGTCCCTAATGTTTTGTTTTGACATTCACGTTCACTCTTTGCTCACGTTGTTTATTCACTATCACTGCCACCTTGCTTCTTGGCCTACCTCACCTAGCCTATTGTTTCGAACCATTTCTCTACATACTAGCCGGCTTTTCTTTCTTCACTCACTCGCTACTAGGCACCTTCTCTCATACAACTGGCTTACAGACTCGCACGATTTAGCGGGGCTTTGGTTAGGATAAAATAATAAATTGGAGAATTTGTATAGCGTCTGTTAGAAAAATATTTGTCATTGGCGCTTAAAGATATAAATAAGAATTATTGGTCAAAGAGATGAGTTTTAAAGCCCCATTCCCGGCAAAATTTCACTAAAAATTGACTTTTTTTTTAGAAAATATGCATTTGCATTACTCCAATTATTATAAATCATGGAAAAATATTGGCATGAATTTTAGTTTTACGCAAAAGAATAAAAAAAATGAGAAATACAGACTATTTCTCATAAAATATTACCATTTTCACGACGAATTCATCGTTACTAGGCAAATTCAGAGGTTGTAGTTCGTATCCACTGGAATACTCTCGCTTTTATTTATACTTTATACAGTCAATAAAGTGCGCCCTCTCTAATGAGATTACTTTTTGTACTTCGCATCTCGCACAATGCGGTCGTTCGGTTAGGCTGAGATTTGTTCAGTCAGAATCAGTTTTTTTTTTTTTTTTAACAAATTTGAAATAATTCCTGTGAAATATTATATTCACAAGTGTCAATACTAGCAACGGAAAATATCATGTCGGCCGTTTTTATGTGTGATAACAGAACCTAAATCGAGGTAAGGCTAGGCCTAGCCTAGAGCAGCATTGGATAGGCTAATGTTTTCGGCGCCTACGATATTTCTTCTCACGACCTATCGCAAAATCAAACAAGAAAATTCATCCGCATTTATTTTTTGTGTGGAACACAAAAAATCAAATTTCAGTCTTATTTTACATTTTTTTCATTCTTAGGAATGTCTAAATTCAGTTAAACTAGCAATTCCGTATTATATTTATAAATCTTTATAACATTATACAAAAATTAGATTTTTAAAAAAAATTGAAATTTTGCCGGGAATGGGGCTTTAAGAGCGTTTTGAATGCATCAGTATTTGAAGTTAATTTAAGTTTAGGTAATAATTTCGGAGCTGCAAAATAAAACAAAATTCAACAACAGTCATCGTTGTGGAATGATGTGAAAATGTAGCTGGTAGAGTTTTCGTTATCTCTTTTGACAACCAATACGCCGAGAAAAGCGCATATGTTTGTGTATGACGTCACCAGTTTAGGCCTAGTTTTAGTTTTCTCGTACTCGCAACCCAAGATTCAGAAACTGGATCCAGGGCGATGAATCGACTCCAGAAACTGAATGTATTTACATCATTTCAATGAAATTTGATCATATTCTGTATTAAATTATTATATACTACCTTGAGAAAATCATCATAGTTAATACTGATTGCAAATCCAGATGTTCACATACTGTAATCAATATAGTTCGTCCTAGGCGCGCCATTCCGCAGGCCTACTATCGATTAGGCATCGTGTCACCTCGGCCCAAGAGCGTGCCGCCCGTAGCAAACAGGCTGTGCTGCCACCAAGGGTTTGGTTCTCGGGGAAACGCGAAACAGGATAGCGAAAGCTCACTATTTCTTTTTTTTTTTTTTTTTTTTTTTTTTTTTTGTTAGGGCGGCGTTGGAGCTGTCTTTTATACACATCT